AGTTTCAGGTGAACTCAGCCTTATAAGCACTGCCTCCACATGGTGGACAAACAGGTTGGTCACATGCAAAGAGAGGTCCCAGAGCTAGTTTTGCAACATAAAATTTTAAACTTAAACTCAAACCATTGGAATGAGCTTGTTTTGCTTGAACATACACAAAGAACATTGTCTTCAACTCACGTGAAACCATCACAAAGCACACTGAATTTACATGAATGTGCTTTTTGTGTTTATCCATTCATAGTATAGTGTATTTCACACCACAAACTCAGGTTTTAACCGGAACAGATTTGTGCACAAATGTTGGGTGACGGGTCTCAGACACGTTTCCCCATCGTGGACTCCAACGTGAAGAAACCCCATGCAGTGACGTATGCTGCAGTGGGAGGGGTCTCCCAGGAGCTCAGCACAGTGTGACTCAAGGAGCTAAAAGTGTGTGCAAAAATTAACGCTGAACAATCATGTGACCGCGCATCTTCTGGTCTGCTGCCGTTCGACCATACGGAGCCCTAGATTGTTTGATTGACAACCAAGGGGGAGGGACATCTATGGATTGATTGGATATAAATGAAAGTTTATTTGGCCAGTGACAAATTAAATTTTGCTACTCTTATTTTTTCATAAGCACTGAAGAGCTACTTTAAATGAGCTCTCGAGCTGCTGTTGGAGACTGCTGCCTTAGAGTGAACTGATCTGTAAGACTTTAGTCTGAAGAAGCTGGTGGGTGATATGCATTCCTTTAAAAATGCTCCTTTCATTTAGTTTGAAGCAGATCATCTGTAGTTGTCTCTGACTAGCTTCACTTCCTGTTTGGTTTGAAGTTGCTGAGATGTTTGTCCTCCCTCCTGCAGGGCGTGACCCTCACAGCTGCCATTGGTGGTGCCGACATGCCCGTGGTCATCACGGTCTTAAACAGCTACTCAGGATGGGCGCTCTGTGCTGAAGGCTTCTTATTGGACAATAACCTCATGACCATCGTCGGCGCCCTGATTGGCTCCTCCGGCGCCATCCTGTCCTACATCATGTGTGTGGTGAGTAGGTGCACGCCTCGGGACAACAGACTCTAACCCGCTGAGCTGCTGGACTTCATTTTGTGTCCCTCCTCAAGGCCATGAACCGCTCCCTGCCCAACGTGATCCTGGGGGGCTACGGCACCACCTCCACAGCCGGAGGGAAACCCATGGAGATTGTAGGAACTCACACTGAGGTCAACGTGGACCAAACCATCGATATTATCAAGGAAGCCAACAACATCATCATCACTCCAGGTGGACACCACAGAAACACGCTCTGACAGGTCCAGACCTGGTCTCTGACAGGTCCAGACCTGGTCTATTAAAGGCCCAGACCTGGTCTATTAAAGGTCCAGACCTGGTCTGTGACAGGTCCAGACCTGGTCTCTGACAGGTCCAGACCTGGTCTCTGACAGGTCCAGACC